GTTAGAATTACACAAATGTGTACATGCATGAATGCACGTGCATGCACACACCACACACACACACACACACACACACACACACACACACACACACAATGTACTACTTCATCAGTACAAACTTCTCTGGAATCACCCGAGAACCCTGGAATAAATGGCAAATCTGAAACACTCCAGTTCGTCACACAGTACTAATGAATTCATGAAGGCACTGTGGGGCAACGGGGAGATGCAACAACAACAGCAACCTGCAGGAGGCGACAGTCTCAGTTCTCAGCATTACCTGAAGGAACCATTATAAAATATACAGCATAGTCACTGAGGACAGGAAAAATTATTACCTACCAGTTCCACCTTGTTTCCCTTCTACCATTTTGACATCAATAGGTACAAAATCAGCCATCTCTCTCAACACAGTAACTTTTTCTGCTACTGATATGGTTATCTTTTTAGACTGAAGAAGTATCTCTGCTAAGAAACTAGCTACTTATTCGAAGATCAAGTTACATTTTATATTTGGAAACAGAACTTAATGTTTAAACATTCTAATGAAAAGTATTCTGAGGTTCTACCATCAACTAAGCAACAGCATCTTACCAATTTATGTTTTTAAAGTTAGTATCAAGTGATTAAAATTAACATATTTGAAAATACTTTTAATAGTTTCATACAAATAAAATAAGTTCAATTACATTTGTACTAATTCTACTAGCATTTTTAAGCTTGTTGATCTGTAATTATCCCTATAATTATACATGAAATTATAAAATATCTACAGGTGCTAGCAATACTGACAGTTTAGGTATTTTACTTTGAGAATCACTCATGAAGCTTCTGTTTGAACACCTCCATGATTTTAAGAGGACAGAGCCAATTTTCACTGTCAGAAATTCTCATATAGAACATTAGATGTAGAACCAGAAATTCTGTTTCTTATTGTTTTACCCAGAAACAAAAGAACAATTCTATTCCTTACATGACAGTCATTCAGATCTGTGAAGAAAACTCCCTCTCTTTAAAATTTCTTCTCTAAAATAAAGATCATTTTCTTCAAATACACCCCACTCTCCTTCTCCATATAGGCCTTTCATCACTACAGCAAGCTACCTTTCTCCTGACATTTCAGTTAGTTCATAATGTGCCTCTTACTAAGTGCCACTTACAATTTAACATAATAACATATAAATTTTAATCTGAATAGCACTGTGTACATGGCTTACAGCATGTCCTGATCAGTAAGTTTTACAATTATATCAGTCTGTCTGCAACTATATTATACCACTTCCCAATGCCAGTCTGCAGACTGACATTACTACTCGATGAGGCATTCAGTGATCTTGCATAAATGAAAAAGTAACACTAGAGTAATTTTCCCATCAATGTTAATTTAAGTTAAATAATTTTCCATTATTGAGTTTATATACGCCCTTAATACTTGGGGGGGGTCACTTTTGAAATTAAATGATGGTGATTGAAGATGGTAGTTATTTTTCCAAAAGTCTATGCATAGAAAAATAAAGCTTCCCATATTTCATATTCTTTAAAATATTAGTCTAGGGACTGGGGATTTAGCTCAGGGGCACAGCGCCTGCCGGCAAGCACAAGGTTGTGAATTCAATCCCCGGTACCGGGAATAAACCAAAACCAAAAACTAAAATAAAATATTAGTCTATTATTCTAAAATACTCAGGTAAAGCTTGTTATTATCTAGGTAGCCAAGCACTGAAAATAATTTAAAGAATGTGCAATAAGCTGGGATGCAGCTTAGCAGCACTGTATATACTTAGCATGCAAAGGTCCTAGGTTCAATCACCAGCACTAAACAATAATAATGATGATGATGATGATAAACAATAATAATATGGATTAGAATTTACAGCAACCAATGGCAACCTACTTTGATCACTACTTTGATTCGTTTATGGAAGCAATGTAAACATAACAGGATGTAGCAAATAAAAGGACTAAGGTACTTTAACATTAATTCCTAAGAATTCCTACTTTTCCTTACCTACCTAAATTTATGATCATAACAGTATTTAAATCAGCCAATTATATTACAGTACATGAAACTAAGAGTGGATCAGAATAGAAGAAACTTATAACTACTCATAGTTTAGATTAAGCTTAGCCAACTTTGAACTACAAGCAAACTACAGCATCTAGGAAAAGAGACAGGAAATTACAGTCTACAGATTAAATCCAGTGCATCATCTTTGTGTAAAAGTTTTATAAAAACATATTCACATTAATTGATTATACATTGTCTATGCCTGCTTTTGGGCTACAGTGGCAAAGGAGAAGAGCTGGGACTAGAAACCAAAAATATTTATTTTACTACTTGGTCATTCACAGAAAATATTTGCCAACCCCTAATCTAGGGGAAAAAACTATTTGCTACCAAAGCAAAATTTAAGATCTTTACCAATAACCAGTAAGTAGGTTAGGAAACCCACCATTCTTATTGGAATATGTAAACACTGGACTATCTGACTAGTTCTTTATTCTATTCTGTATAAAGACTTGTTGCTCACCCTCAACAGAATACACACTTACTACTCACTGAGCTAATCTTTATCATATGTTTCTCAAGGACTCACTAAAGGGACAGTGAACAATCTATGAATATTCTGCTTGTATAATCTAAAGTAAAAAGTAAAAAGTTGCTGCAAATAACTCAGAAGAATATAATAAAGAAGCAACTTTATATACTACATAAAAATTTACTTTCCATTTTAGATTCCAAATACAAAATTTTAAAGGCACTTAAAATAGGAAAGCTTAAGTTGAGCAATTTACATAATTTCAACTCTATTAAATAAGGTAAATTGATAACTTCCCTTTATATTAAATAGCGAGACTTTTATTTTCATGCACATAGAATAGAAATAAAATACCTCTAATCTAATTTAATCATGTAAGTAATTAATATAAGGAACACTAGAATCTATTGTTTAAAAACTCACCACTTCAAAGTACTTTGAAACTAGAAAGTATTTAAGACACCACCTCCATGTTCAGATGAGAAAATTTCAATTTGCTTTGAAACATTTAAGTTCAAGGAACCAACTAGTAGGAGAGCCAGAACTAAAATCCAACACTAAAATCTCAGTGTGAAATTCTTTCTACAAAAAGACATGTCCACATAGAATGAGAGGGTGGGGTGATGTTGAAATATTCTAGTTTTAATAGTGCAGTACAACATATTCCCAGGACTACAGTCCAACGAATCTTGAAAACTCTTGATATTTTTTAAAATAAGTCAATTATGAAATTATACAGGAGGACAACAAATGATCAATTAGAAATCAGCTCTTATTTTAAAAGATAACAAAACCCACCAATGAATTGCTTAACAAATTGTCAAAGATTAAAAATAGGATGTTGGTAAAGAGGCAGTATGATAGATATTTAACATTCCTCATTTGGAACAATCATTCTGAAGGGTAATTTGGGAAGAGTCTAAGAAATTCTCACCATGTAAACCACTTATTCCATTTCTACGACTAGTCCTTAGAGAAGAAGTCTAACATACAGTTCAAATTTTACATACATCTAAGGATGTCCATCCCATTATAAAATTGTGCAAGATTAGAAACAGCCAAAGAAACAACTGGTTAAATTATAATATTTTCATATAATACCACAGAATATGAGGCATCCATTTTAAAAAGTCACATTTTCAATGTCATGAATAGGGATTTAAAATATTAGGTTATAAAAAACAGTATACAACTATATGGTTGGCATATTAGTTTTGTTATTACACACACACACACACACACACTCATACACCCATATATGCATATACAACATAGACAAAAACCAAAAAGAAATACAGAAAAGTGTTAACGTTATTTCTTTGCAGCGATTGTCCTTTATAATTTTCAGTATTTTCCAAATTTTCCATAATATTCATGTGATAGATTTTATAACCAGAGAAAACTATTTTAAAAATTCACTCTAGCCAATTCAGAAATTTTTAGTCTGTGTTAAATAAGGAATAAATATTTACATTAGTCAAAAGTACATCTAAATAATGGGAAATAAGTCACTAATGTCAGAGTATAATTTACATACACACATAAATACACACACACACACACACACACACACACACACACACACACATAGGAAATTGTAAATCCAAAAGGTAATATTATTTTACCTCATTCTTGGAATAGAAAGTTGATACAGTATTTAATAAAAAAAAAGAAATGCAAATCTTTAAATAAAATTGGTGCAAGGCATCTAAAAATTGTGCTACACTGGTTTACCACTGAAGATATAAGTATTTCCCAATGTAATGTAGCTATCCACCCCAGTACTACATTAAAATTGGTATAATACAGAACATGCATAGTGGCTAAACAATTAGCTGACTGAATTTTTTTTTTTTTTTTTTTTTGCCAAAGTGACCAGAACTGGGTGATGTTAAAGATGGAAATAATACAACACCATACCATTATTTTAGTTGGAAGAGCCGCACCAAATAACATGACAGAAAAACTGTAGAACTGGAAGAAACTCAGCAATTTTTGTTGTTGTTGCTGCTACTAATGATTTCTTCCTAAAAATTCAAGTAGAGGAGTCAAATTGCTTAAAGCACCAAAAAAGCACAGCAGTATATGGTCTGCAATGATTTGAAAAACGCTGAGAATACTCTTCAATATTTCCTCATTTGCAGACTATCAAACATCTTTGAAGCAAACACCTATGTTATTTTACCAATCTTGAATTCATATTCTATTAAATAGTAATGACATGAAGGGATGTCACACACAAAAAGGCAAATGAATGTAACTTTAAAAGTTAACATTAAAATTATTATTATAATTTCTATAATTAAAAAATATCACATAAATCTGTAAATTATAAAATACATCCTAAAATATTTTTACATAAGAGCTGAGCCTCGCCATTTTTAACAAAAATTCTGAGATGGAATTAATAAAAAACAATTTTCATATATACCACAGAGCAATAAAGTTTAAATCAGACTATTTTGAGTTGTGTAGCCCTTTATTAGCAACTAAAATAGAAGGTATCTGTTGTACAACACGGGTAGTAATTGTCTATAACTTCAGATTTATTATATTCTAATACAGATCATTTATAAATGCAATTTCTTTATTAAAAAGCTTCCACCCTTTTTTTGTGTACAATTTGCAAAACTATTCTGAAAGCGGAATATATGTGCACAAGTCTGCAAAGAGTGCAAATTTAGGATATGGTAAATGCTTTACAAGTTGCTTTCAAAAAACTGTCTGCCACAACTGGACCTTTACATTGTTGTTTTTTTTTAATCAAAATATTTTTGATCCCAACCTTCCTTCCACCACCCAAAACTATAAAGCATTTTTTAATGAGTTGAAATTAAGGAGGACTACACCTACTAGAAAAGAAGAGAAGAAAGTTCTATTAGTTTGAGGTTTCAGAATCCCCCCAAACCAGAACCAGTGTCTTGGTAAAGGCTAGGCTGGGACCCTGGACAGAGTATGAGTATGTGCAGGTGGCATCCCTGAGGATTCGGAGCTTCAGTGGACCGTGAGTGCTCCCGCTGCATAACTCACTGAGCTGTCTTGCCAGTTTCTACACTGGCTTGACTGGGCATAATTCAAAAAGGAAAAGCTCATATTCATTCCATTCTTCTGCAGCTCTGTGATAGCCTAGAAAAAGAAAAACTTGGTTATGACAGACAACACAGAAAAAAGTGAGCACTGTGAACACACTGGCCATTTTTTACTTTTCCTACTGAATAAATAAGCCAAGAATTCTTTCACTTTGTTTCTTGAATTTCTCTGTTGCCTCATAATACACAGGGGGAAAAGGAAACCCCTTACTTCATTCTTTGAAAGAACTCCCAACCTACCTTCTTGTTATTTAAACAATCATCATCCCTCCTACTCCATTAATTAATAAAACCACTTTTTTAAAATTGATAATAATTTCTCTCAATTTTCTCAACCAAATCATGGCCACTTCTCTTAGTATGTTAGGATCTTTTCTTTGTGACTAAATTTGAAATCATTTGAATTCCATATCTAAGAGGTATGCCAGCATTTTTACTCTAAATGTAAACTGGCTCATGATTTATTTTTTAAAAATTGCATTTCATTCAATCCATACTTTAGGAAATTGTACCCATTTATCCTAACTTGCTTCAGAAATTAGTTTAAAACTTGAAAAATTTTTCTTTCAGCCAATCCATTCTGCTTAAAAGAAAAAAAAAATCTTCCTCAAAACTGTAATATACTATCATTCAAATCATATAATGAGAAAACTAGTCTTTAATATCCTACCCTAGAATATTCTGGACTCTACTATCTTTTCCACTTATTTCTCTGCCTTTCAAAACAAATGAGTCCATTGTAATACCCTGAATAAAAACTTTTTCTTTTCATTCTTAAAGAATGCTCCATTTTCCTTAAGAAAATCTATAGTGTTTTATTTATTAAGGGAAAATTAGTATTATTATCTCTTTCTAAACTCTAGCTAATCAAAACATCTGCGTACCATTCTTTATATGAAATGCTACCTTTTCTTTTTGGTACCAGGAATCAAACTCACAACCTCGCACTTGCCAGGCAGGCACTATACTGTTGAGCTATATGCTCAGCCCACCATTTTTATTTTAAAGAGAAAAATATAAATGTCAACTGTCTTGTTAAATTATAAACATCTAAAGTTTAAGAGCAGGAGCTTCCTGTTCATTTACAGAGTCTAGAATACTAATATATATATATTAATTTTTTATTAATGCAATTTTACAATGCAAAATCCTGCAGTAAAATGTTTTCCAAACTGTTTTTATAGTAGAGAATTAGTTCTAACAGATACTAAACATACACATACACAAACACACAGATAAACACACACCCCAAAACAATAAATACACACATACATATATACACACACACAGAGCAAGTCTATTAACTACAAAACATACCAGAACGTTTCCTTTAATACTATAATGAAAATGGTAATTTGGGGCAAGGGAGGTTTGAGGCAGTCTTGCTATGTGGCTGAGGCTGGTCTTTAATGTTCTACGTGACCCAAGCTGGCCTCCAACTCACAGCAATCTTTCCACCTAGGCCTCTCAAGTGCTGGGATTACAGCCATGCAGCACCACACCCAGTAATAGTAATTTTTTGAGAGAGAAAATATGCAGTATTTTTTACTTTCTTAATTCTAGAAGTTTTCAACAAGACCACCTTAATATTGCTTAGAAGCAATTTTTCATGTAACACATTGACTGGATAAATATGGTAAATGGCCATTGTTTTTCTTTTTTAATTAATTTCCTGAGAGGTCACCTTGACTCATATTCCTAAGGACTATACCAGAATTCAATGAGAATAAAGAGAAAATATGATTTTTTCTACCCTAAATGATTTTCTGTATTTAACAAAAATTATTAGTCTGTATTCTAGTGATAAATTTACAAAAGTAACCAAAACAATAGAAATCTACAATTATATTAATGGCCCAAGGAGGAAAACTGACATTTTGGACATAAAACCAATAATGGTAACAATATAGCATAATGATAAACATGTTGAGACATGACAGGATTAAATGTTAGAAGTCAAACCTTTCGAAGAATACTCACATTTAATAACACCCCAATGGGATGTCTTCCACATATAGTATTATGGTATTTCTTCAAGTAATTGCTAAAGGATACAGGATCTAATTGTTCTATAATACTCATACCCTAAAAAAAGAGAAATGACACAATTTATTATTTCCTAATTATGTTTTAAAATGTTCTCATAGCTCACAAAGAAAATACATTACTTGTGAAATATCACTCATTCATCAAAATCTCATTATAGTCAAATCTCTATTGACAAAAACTTTTAATTCTAGTTTATTTTCTTCTGCGAACCTCCAGATATACTTCTATGTCACCATCACCAGCTATCATTTAGCTTACAATCCTCACATTGCTCAATTTTATATTCTTTTTAATATAAGCAATATTTACAAAAGCAAACCTGCTATGAAATTTTACATAAAATCTAACACTAAATTTGATTCATGGGTGTTTTACCCAAATCATGTTTTTCCTATTACTGATAATGAAAAGCCAAAAGTTAATGGTAATTTAACTATTTCCATAACATATACTTAAACTATCAGTCTATTTTAAATTATTAGCAGTTATCTATGTATCTGATAAAAAGAAAATATCACAAACTAAAACTAGTTAGCTTTGTTTTTGAGAAAAGGTTTCACTTTGTAGTGGAGGTTGGCTTTAAACTTACAGCAATCCTCCTACCTCAGCCTCCCCAGTGCTGGAATTACAGGGGTGTGCCACCAAGCCCAGGTAGTAGATTTTGATTGATTTAAAACTCACAAAAAATGATGAGGGTTTTAGTACCACAGGTCTTTTATGAACCAGGGTTTTTTGTTTGTTTGTCTTGTTTTGTTTTAAAGAAAGGGTCTCTCTATCTCATTGAGGTCACCTTGAACTCACTTATGTAGCCTAGGCTGGCCTAGACTTCAACAGGGATCCTCCTGTCTCAGCCTCCCAAGCGCTGGGGTTACAGGTATGCACCACCATATGCCAGCTATGAACTACTTTTTAAAGGAAAGTTTATCTCTTTATCCTTTAAGCTAGAAGGCTTTAGATTTTAATTTGCAATTTAAAAAAAAAAAACTTGAACATCTGTCTACACTACAGGATGACTGAAAAAAATAAAGCAAATGTTTAAATTTTTTTAAAAATAAGACAGTAAAAGACGCATTGCCAAGAAGAATGGGCTAAGTATATTAGCAGTGAGGGAGAGTATTTTCAGTATACTAAGGGGAAAAATGGCAGTGTGTCTTTTACTACAATAAAATCTTTAACATTAACCATAATTTTTTAAATCTCATTTCACTTATCAACTATATGCCAATTTCTGTTAGAAACATTACACTGTGTCCTTATCCACCTCATTCACCAGATCCGGCACTGTGTGACTTCTACCTCTTCCCCAAAGTCAAAATGACCATGAAACGTAAACATTTTGAACTGATTCAGGACATCAAGGCAGCCACAATAATATAACTAAAGGCATTCACAAAAGAGGACTTCCAGAACCATTTCCGAAAGTACCAAGACCTTTCTGTAGGTGTGTTCCAAGCAAGGTGTGTTTTGAGGAGAATAAAGGCAATGTGGCTTTTACTGCAGTAAGTTTTAAAACTTAAACATTCGCTGTATTTTTTACCACCACAAGTACATTCTATACTCTCCAAATACATTCAGATAATGTATTTAGAATTCATTACTATGCGTTAATATAATTCAATAATGTATATAATTAAACTTTCACCCAAGCAAATAAATCACTGACTTCAACTACCTTGTTTATCAATTACCCTACATTATCTTAGTCAGGTCACACAAATTTGTGTTCAATAAACTTGGTTAAGGTCCTCTGGGAGAAATGTACACAGTGGTCTAATTCAGACTTAACTGGTACATTCTGCATGAATTTTATTTGTTTGGTTTTTGTTTGTTTCTGGTACCAGGAATCAAACTCACGACCTTGTGCTTGCCAGGCAGGCACTGTGCTGCTGAGCTAAATCCCCAGCCCCCCATTCTGCATGATTTTTAAATGTTACTGTACATTTTTTAACAAAATAAACAGTGCAAAAGCACAGAAAGTAATCAGGACAGTCACAAATAAAGTCATTTGAAAAATAACAGTAATCAGTAGGTAACATGCAAATTTTACAGTGAGAGCTTCAAAATTTAATTTTATAAAGACACCTTCATTCAGAAGATTCATATCCCTCATAAACTAAATTCATAAAATAAAATTCATAAAATCAGTTTTCCTACAAAATATATCTGAATCATAACCATATGCATATAACATCAGCTGAGTTTTGTGCACATCAATTAGCCCATTTCAGATCTGTCCACAATCACTTTTTAATGCTAAGTTGGTTTTCCCAACATTCAGGGAAAACAATTTCCCAACATGTTAGAAAAAAATACAACTAATTTAAAAAGTTAAATCAAAGATAAACAATTAATATAATTTTGTTACAAAGTAAAGCACACCTTGTACTTCTAAACTAAGAAGTAGCAATGTAGAGATGGAATAATAAATATACTATAAATTAGGGTAATCATGATATAATTCCCCTAGAGATGAAAGACCGGGGCATAAAAAGATCCTAATCCGAGGATCTTTCTCACAGACTACTCTGACGCATTATACTATAACAAGAGTCAAGTAGTAATTCTTTGAACATTCATGTAGCTACAACTGGCATACATAAGGAAAACTTGCAGTGCATGAATGAAGTCTAGGACAGCTTACCTTGAATAGAAATTCATTCTTTAATAAATTATGCAACACTGAAGTTCCAACATACATTTTAATATTAAAACCTTCAATCACAAGCAGAATAAACTTAACACATTTACAAACTGATAGAAATTTAAAGAGAAAAAAAGAAAACTAATGACTACACTGGGAGAAGACAATGAATTCCAGGTTCCCAGCCAAGGAAGTTTTCTATAGAAAGATAAAAAGTTGTAAGGATAGAGAAGATACTACTAAAAAGAGTTCAAAATGAAATCAACCGCTTAACTTACAACAAGAAAAAATATAAAATCAAGATGATAGAAGTTAAAGGATAAAATGTGTTAAAATTTTAATTCTGAACCTAATGTGGCAAGAATCAATTCCATTATATTCAAATCTCTGACAAATGTGATGATCCAACACGTATGCCTTTTTATAAAGGAGGGGGAATGGGAATAAGAGCTTTTCTCATGGGTGCCTCCTACAACTGGAAAATTCATGAAGTATGCAAAAAAGCAATGATGACAAAGTGAAAAGTGTGACATCCATTGACTAATATAGAATAATGGCAAATACATTTTTATATAGATAAAGAAAACCAAGAAGTTACTACTACCAAAATACCAAGAAGAAAGAAAAGCCAGTTGGATGCTATTACCAAACCTCTAAAATAAAAAAAGTCTGTTCTAAAATCTGCCCTTTTAACTCTAGTATTCTTAAAAATACTGAAAAGTATGACTAGTGAGTCTAAGATCCAGGCATCTGAAAGCACCCTGGGACCTATTATGGTGAACACTTAATTGTCCACACAAACTTTGCTACCTTGCTAAGTAAATGGGTGAAAACTGACAATGTCAAGTCCCAAGGGTCAACCCAAACTGAACAGGAAAATTTAGGGAAGAGGAAATATACTAAATAAAAAAAAAATTTTAATAGGAAAAAATTATTCTAAAGATAGTAGTAACAGGCAATGTATTAATAAATGACTATCTTACAGGTAATGCTTTAAAATCTATCAAAGATACTGGTGTAAGTTTAAGAGAATGAAGTATGATTTGGCAAATATGAACAATTTTCCTTTTAGGACAGATATTAAGAAGGAAAAAAAATCTAGCTGACATTCAAATTAAATGAAAGTGACTAACAGATGTGGACAGGAAATGTTATATGACTATAATGACATATAGATTTTCAGATTTTCCCCATCAAACTGTAATTTGCTGTGGTCTGGAATAAAATATCAGTATGCACCAAAACAGTGATATAGTCAAAATAACACATGATCATATATGGTAAACAATATATATAGTATAGCTAATATTCCGAGGAATATGGAATTCACAAAATCAGTATCTTGAAACACATTCTACTTTTATCACTGTAATAAGTGAAACTGCAGAGTACTAATTAACAACAAAAAGTCCAGAGACGATAAATGATTTCCTGAATCTACATCTCTTGTATTATAGTTGCTTATTTTTTCCCAACTATATTTAGAACATACACTTTGCTTTCCTATAGCTATTTCTTTGTACTTTTCGGCATAACCAATTACCAACATATCCAAATGTTAGCAACATAAACATTTTTCAATAAAATTGGGTATTTTTCTTTAGCTCTTGGAACATAGAGGTGGTTTCTCTTCCTAGCATTTTAATAACTATATTCAGGTTTTTCTAATGAAAAAAGAACCAAAACTTACACTAATGTTGAACAGATATAATCTATACATCATACTTCAAAATAATTTCCTTACTGTATTAAACTTCCAAATACAGCTTGCATAGCCTTTTATTTAAAATGACTGGCATCAGAAGAATTTCTAACTCTGGAGTTTTTAAGAGTCTGGAATATCTGTATATCTATAATAAGCTATCTTAGGGAACAGACCCAAATCTAAACATGAAATTCATTTATGTTTCATATGTACCCTTTTTTTGAAGTGGGGTACTGGGGATCAAACTCAGGACCTTGTGCTTGCCAGGCAGGCACTTATGCCACTGAGCTATATCCCCAGCCCCCAAATGATTTTCTTTTTGTTTTTTGTTTTGTTTTGTTTTTTGGTACCAAGCATCGAACTCAGAACCTTGCACATGGCAGGTAGGTGCTTGTGCCACTGAGCTATATCCCTGGCCCCATATATACCTTATATATATACATAGGGCCTTAAGGTAATTTTATACAATGGTTTTAATTTTGACTATAACACATCATAGAAGGTCAGGTACGGAATTTTTCACTTGCGGCATCATGCCAGTGGTCAAAACTGTTTACAGTTTGAAACACTTTGTGTTCTAGATTTTCTGAAAAAGAATGTTCAACTGGCATTGCAATATAGAATTGCTAACATTTTGGTAATACTTATACAAAGAACTATCCAAGTTTATTTCCACTGAGAAAATAGATA